ATGTCCTTTAAACAGTTTACACGTTTTGTTGTCAGAACATGAATGAAATGGCAACCGAAAACCATACAGAACTTAGTGACTTTTAAACCATTTTGCAAAGTTTAACCAATATGTAAGGAGTACCATTTTGCCAATTATGTTCAAAAGCATTGTTTTCGATTAATCTTTACAATGCAAAATGCTGTTTAAAGTAAATAATACATTTCTTCAACTTAACATAAAATTGAAAAAAAAAAACAGATAATTAATATATATGAACACTTTTTAAAATGGGTAAAAAACAATGCACATAATATAAAAATTTCTTTATTTATTGTAACCAAGTGTAAACTGCAAGTTGTATTCAAATAGAATGCAATCCGACTAATTAGAATTGTGGCCTATGAATATTATAAAACTGTGGTTTCCTAGGTTTACTTTTTCTACACAAAAGAATTAGTGTATTGGTTTTAAGCGTTTAGAATTGGGCATTTGAAAATCAAAGTAACCCGTTACTGGTTTTGGCAAAAGAAAACTGCTGCCGACACTCAAAAGCAACTTAAAAGTCAGTTGAGAAATAACCAAACTGATGCTCGAAATCAAGTGGGACGAGAAATTTAAGGAGAGTGTAAATTGAAATTTTATTTATTTATTTTGAAATTTTGATTTTGATTTTCATCTTTGGTTTATTTATTGGCATATGTTTGCATTCATTCAGGAACCAGCTGCACTGATTGCTTTCGTTTTGATTTCAATTTGCGGATTTTGTTTTTGATTTTTAATAACCTGCTGTCGAATGACCCGTCCACTAATCGCACTATCCAACCAAATCGATTCCCTCCACGTCCTTGTTTTCTTTTTTAACCTATTTTATTTTAAGTCCAACTGTTTTGCTCTAATTTTGTTTTAGAAAAATATTTCCCCTAGCTTATTTAACGGATTGAGATCAATTTGGTGTTTTCTCAATCACATTTAAAAGATTTGTATTTTCTAAAAATTGGTTAAAACGCTAGTGTTATATTCAAAATATCAAATATATCTATTACTTTTAGAAAAAAGGTTTAATAGAAAATAGGTTTGAATACTTAATGGTGTTTAATTCTTTAGGGCTGAACGCATATTTACATATATTATATGTTGTATACTATTTGACTTTTAAAATAATTTAAAGCAGCCAAAAAGGGTGTAAAATTTGTTTAAAGATTTTTCGTTGGTTTAAATTGGACAGAAATAAAAATTGTAATAAAGTCAGATATAAAAAATCAGTTTAAATCAAATTTAGATAGCGCTAACTTTAAGTCCTGCTAAACTCACAATAGTTCAGCGGCCTGGCCAGAATCCCTGACCACTTCTCTGTTTTCTGTCTGGGCCTCTAACTTCGCCCTCTTTGGCCCTGCCTGTGTAAATTCAATAAAATGCTTAATAAAATTGATTGATTAGCTGCAAATGGCAGACGATGTCGTCATCGTGGGGCAAGGACTCTCCCTTGAAGCGAGGATGTGGAGGGAATGGTCGTGGAAGGTCCTGGTGGCCGCATATTCCACATGCTTATTTAAAGGCATTGATGCCCGGCTTGATGCCTGTTTCAAGTGGATGCTAAGCCATATCGCAGACTCCCATGCTGAGCTCGTCGGTTCCTTCTGCCACATTTGCGATTCCTTTTGCCATTGTCCTGATTCCACACACACATATGCACACTCACTCGCACACACACACGTGAATAGTAGAACTCACTTACCAAGCCGATGGAGTCCTGAATCCTGAATCCTGTGTTCTGTGTCCTGAGTCCTGAGTCCTGGCAAGAGTTGGCATAGAACGTCGTCCGTTGTTGCTGTTGCTTACACAATTGTCTGTACATTATTTGAGTTTGTGCTGGCATTTGTTATTTTGCTTTATCCTTTTAGATGAAGGCAACGCAAAGTAATGCGATTGCACGGGACGGGAATAGGTTCACTGAGTGCGAGCGGGACGGCAAGTCGCGAATCCTTATCCGACTGACAACTGCACTCCGCCACCTTCCATCCTGCACTTGCCGAAAAGGTAGCCAAGGATCTGGAAAAAAATGTATGTATTTATCGCGCACAAAATCCCCACCATTCTTATGCGATTTTCAAAACTGTTTTGGGGGAAAGTCCCCAAGTCGCGACAGTCGAGAATACTTTGCTCTATTTTGTTTAACACGGATCACTGCTGCTTTCTTTCGCCAAATGTAAACTGAAGTTAAGTTAGGGGTTCAATCCAACAACTAAACTGATTTTACAGGCAATCACATTTTATTTGGCGGAGAAGAGGGTAATCAAAGCTATAAAAATAAAAGAAAAACACGCTATAGATGGAAAAGTATACCCAACAACAGTTATTTTGTTGAAGAAATGTACACACATACGAGTACATTAAGAATGCTCACGATCTGCATCAACTTCCTCTTGCAAAGATTAAAGAGAGCGATGAGAATGGTAAGAGTGGCAAAGATTAAAGAGAGCGATGAGAATGGTAAGAGTGCATAGAGAGGTAAAAAAGAGCGCAATACCATGTAACGGATTAACGTATGCAATACAACAACAACATCTTGAAAGTTACAGCAATGAATGCATAAAAACATATAAAAATACATAAAAATAATAATAAGAAGCCGTTCTGCTACAATGTTGAAGATTAAAAAAGCAATAAGTCTGGATTTTAAACGAGTTTAATAGGTGGGCAACAACGTTTACTCATTAATTGAAGTAGTTCATGCTGCCTTTTCTTTCATCTTTAGCAACTGCTGTTTAGGCAATTTTGAGCAAGTGCATCTGCAAATTACATTAGCCATCTCAGGAACACCTCTTTTCCCTCTTCTCTCCACCTTTCACCTTTCACCATTTCACCATTTCACCTTTCGCCTGAACTGCCTTGTTGGTTTTCAATTATAATGTCACGCATTTATGCCTGCGCTTATTTATTATTGTGCTGATGCCGCCCGTTCCTTGTGCTTTGCCCCAGGATTCTAAGGCTCAACTCTTCAGATGTCCTGCTGTCCCACTGTCCTGTTGTCCTGCTGCTGCTTGCAGCTCCTTTCTGCCATCCTCAGTGTCCAATTAAAAGCCGATGCTGCAGCAAGGATTTGCAGAGGGGTTAAGAGGGGCTAACTCCTCTAACATCAGGTGCTCTGCTTGGTCGTTTCGAGTTCGGAGTTTGGACTGCTTGCATATTTGATTTGTGCATTTAAACATTTCAAACAAGCTGTGTCAACCCGCCGCATCGCCAGTTCGTCGGACCACGCCCACTTCGCCCAATCCGCCCACTTTGGTGGCAAGTGCAGGCGACATTGCCTCATTGGAAATTCTCTTTAGAGTAATTTCAGTTATTATATTGCTTTGGCTTTGTTCATCCTGGCCGTTTCTGCTGCTGATGCTGATGCTGCAGCAACTTAACTCCTACCTGGGCATTATTTATTATAAATGATTAACAAGCAGCTATTCGAGGAGCGGACTCGCCACTGGAGCATGGAACATCTGCAACTGCAACTCCAACTGCATCTCCATCTGCAACTCCAACTGCATCCTCATCCGCTTTCGCATCTCAGATACAGGGATCCTAAGATCCCGAGGCTGGCCTTCCATCTTGGTTGTCACATCTGGCATTTGTCCTGCCGCTTGTCCTGTCACCTTGTCTCCTTTTCTTCCCCTCCACCATCGTCCCTCCTCTCTATTCTCCTCCCCCTATTCAAACTTCTTCTCCTTCTCCTGTCTTCCATCTAATCCGGACATAAATGTTGGATGTGTCGAAGGCTTTGAGTGGACAGGGCCGGAAGGACTTAGACTGCCATAGGACGACCAGCAGAGAGGCGAAATTAAATGCCGCCTGTGGCCAGGCCACAGTGAAGCCTCCAAAGGAGGAAGAACGACCACAGTATGCACTAAAAAAAGTGGAAAACAATTTATTACTTATGTGCTCCGATTGTTTTAAAATGTTTAAAACAAGCAACTTTATTAATATGCACATGCATACTTTTATAACTTATCCACTGTTCTACTGCTAAAAAAAAACCAAAAAATTTAAAAAAAAAGTCTTCAAATTACAATAATATAGTTATAAGGAGATATTATGATAGATCAGAATCTAGGATGCTGACAGAAAGACAACATTGCGTATGAGTAATAATCTCCTCATATGAGGAGACAACATTGCGTATGAGTAATAATCTCCTCATATGAGGAGACAACATTGCGTATGAGTAATAATCTCCTCATATGATTATTACTCATACGCAATGTTGTCTTTCTGTTTAATCCCGCAGATTTTAAGAGTCTAAAGAAAATACCAACAAATGTTTATAGTTAATATTTCTTTAAAATTCAGAAAAACAAAAGAGTTTAGCTATTTAGCAATTTAAAGCTGTCTTCCGTGATAAGAGTATTAGTTACTTAAAAAGTTATAAATACCATTCCATTTGTTTATTTATCTAAAAATTATTCGAATTTGTGGCCCACAACGTTGAGCAAGCTCCATTGCAAGAACATTATTGTATTCCCCATGCACTTGTGATGAATACCAGATGAATTAATAGACATGTTCGTTCTCTGTCTGTTTCCACGCAAGTTGGAATAAATTGCTGCATTGTTAAACCGATTTTGACTTTCCAATTGACGTTTCGGCTGGATTCGAGAGGATCTGTCGGGCTTAATTACAGTATAGCTGTCAAAGAAATAATTGATCCGTTTTAGTCCAGCTATGTATAAATTAACCGAGCTTATGTTTTAATATTTTAGTGGTTCATCCGTTGCGCACTTGTGTCTGTTTGTGCGAGTTTATCTGGCTATGTATTGTGAATATATATATGTATAAGTATTCTGCAGAGTCCGAGTGTATTGTATTTCTATTTAGTTCGAGTAAGTCATAACTTTTAAGTGTCGCATTGCTTCACTCTCGGCCTTTGGACTTTGAAACTGCAAACTCGAACTCGTCCAATGCTACCCATACCCCCCTTTATCGCTATCTTTGTCTTACGCCTTATCTCTCCCTTTCTGTCTTTCTTGCAGTTATTGGCATGCCACGCCCCCGCAAGGCGTAGCAAAAGGAGCAGGACGCAGCACGCAGCAGCCGGAAGAAGAGGAAGAAGAAGCGTAAATAAATATGATAAAGCTTAAGAATATATAATAACGGAGAGCAGAGGAAGGAAAGTTTAAATGAAATAACGCAATATAAAAACATAAATAACTAAGGAAAGTGCCGAAGAGAAGGAGGAACAAGAAGAAGCAGCGGCAGCAGCAGCGAAGAAGAGCAGCCCAAAAAAGTAGGCAACGCAAAAAAAAAAGCTGGAAAGCTGGAAAGGTGAGGAGGTGAGGAGGCGGCTTCCCATCCCACAAGAGAGAGGCGCAGTGAAGAGTCCGCTGGATAAGCAGTAGCTGGCAGAAGAAGAAGAAAACTAAAGGAGGAGGAGGTGGAGCCGAGGAGAGCAGAGCAGCCGGACAAGAGAGAATAGAGCTCAATTACGCCGCCAAACTGTCGTGTCAGCAACAACGTGAAATGTGCAATTCCTGGCTGCTGCTCATAATTGCGCTCTCCGTTGTCGTCTGCCTGTGGAACTCGCAACAAACCGAAACATCCCAATCATGCCCAGCCGAGTGCATCTGCTTGTCCCAGACTCAAGTAAGCTTAACAATCTACTTGTACTTGCCGGGGCCAAGTGCTGCCGGGGATTAGGGGGGCTTTCAGGGGCTTTTGGGGCTTAGAAAGGGGGGTGGGGGCGCCAGTACGGCACAGTGGTCCCGATTATAGAACGAAAGATTATACCATCAAAACATATACATACATTAATGCCGCAGAGCTCCCCTGCCAACTCGCTCGAAAATCACACTGAACACTGGCCATGGCTTGCAACATTTAAGAAACAAGTTCCATTTCTCCACTTATTTCTTCTGCAAATATGGTTTCAAATTAAGAAATTAATCAAGAAATTAACAAAACATCAAATTAAGTTTCAACATAATCAAAAATTATTAAATAATCAATTTGGATATGGACTAATAGGATTGAAAGATCTCAGCGAGAGAACTCCTTGAAAGTTCAATACAAAACGGACTCTTAATTTTCTTGAATTACCAACTCATCAGCTAAATCAAAGCGAAAGAGCAATACTTGGGGTTGAATAAGAAAATATTTGGGAGCAGCAAGAAAGGTATTCCTTTGTTTCCTTCAAATATTGTACAAATTAATTTTAATAACCCTTTAACTTAGCTCTTGTATATGAGTTCATTTAATCTAATTTCAGTTGATATATATAATCAACTCCGTCTGTCTGAATACTAGAATTTTCCTTGTATGGCAACTATATTAACCTTTTGCTTTTGCTTTTGCTTCATATTGCAAATAAGTTTGGCAACTCCTATATTTTTGCCATAGCCGAAATCTTCCCTGTTTCCCGTGTTTTGTAAATTAGTGCAGTAAGGCAAATTAGCAACCTTTGTATCAAGTTTTGGCTGGCCGAAAACCCTGAGCAGCAGGACACTTAATATCCAAGCGAGTTGGAAGACGAGTGCATCCTGGTGGCAGGTAACGGTAACTACGGCTTCGCATTCACCAATTCGAGTTGGTCCAATTTCGGTCGGGGCACTCGACTCCACAGTGCGTTTGGAGCTCCTCCATCGTCGGGAGCTCCAGAAGTGGCAGTCAGTAGTCAAAGGCTACCGAAGACAGGAGAAGGGATACCGAGAGAAAGAGACGGGAGAGCAGGAGAATCAGGAGCGGAGAATCTCTGGGGATTCGGTGGTCAGGCAGTGGCCACAGATGCTCCAACTGCTCCAACTGTTCGTCGGCACAGTGATGAGCACAGAAAATTAATCGAAAATGCAGGGAAATGGTTATTTTCCTTTTGTTTCTGCATCTCTTTCTCGCTCTCTCTCTCTCTGTCTGTCTTTCTGTCTGATGGGACTCCTTGTGGAGCCACGCCCCCCAAAAGCCTCCACCTCCCCAGCAATTTTTGTGTGTGGCCGTATTCAATGGTGTCCCGCGAGAGTTTTGGAGCACGCTTAATGCGCATCCTTATTACCAGTGGGAACTTGGCATCGTCATTTCTACCAAATTGAGAACTTAAGTGATTTCATTATTCCGGATTATAGACAATGCAATGATTTACTCAGCCCTCGTTCTCCACTTATCTTTCCAGCATTCTTCAGTTGAAGAGCTCTGCTGGATTTGTTCTTTTCTTTTCATTTCATTTCTTTTGCGTTTCTTATTTTTATTTTATTTTTTTTGCTTCTTTTTTTGGGGACTTGGTAGTGAGAGGCTTGTATCCTTTCGCGACGGTTAACTGTATTGAAGAGGCGAAATTAGTTCAGGCCCCGAAAAAGGTAACAAAAGTGAAGCACACTTTTTGGGGTCAGAGGAGGTGCTCCTATCCCCCTTCCACTAACCCCCTTCCCCCTCCAATTTCTTTTTTTTTTTTTTGCACCATCAGTGGCAGTTAAAGTTCAGCGAACAAGGGACTTTTTAACCGTGTCGCTTGAATTCGCGACTCTGAATGCATAGAAACGAAATTTCATTAAACGGAACAGAACAGAACAGAACTGAAAAGAAACAGGGCCGAAACAGAACGTAACGGAAACTGAGGCAAAAATAACAATCCTCACTGGTTGGGTGGTCTAAAGGGGGGAGGGGGGTTTTGGGGGGTGCCATTCGAGGACGAAAGGGAAAGGAAGAAGAAAAACAAGAAGTGGAGAGCCAAGGAAGGAAAACTTTTAATTCGTTCATTTAAAAAGGTGAAGCGTATGAAAATTGTGCAAATGTTACGCAAGAAGTGCAGCCAAGGTTTGTGGGCAAAAATCCAGGTGAGGGGGGAGGGGAAAGTGGAAGGGGGAAAGGGGGAGGGGGTTTTTGGGGTGGGGTCAAGAGGAACGTGACAGGCGATGGACAGTTATGCACAGTTACTTGGCGACCGGAAAAAGCAAAGGAACCTCCAGACAACCGACCAGGCTCAAAACATACACTGCAAAACTATTTTGCACTTTCAAGAAATGAAATAAATCAATAAATCAATATATTACTTGTGCATATGATTTGATATGTTTAATTGTGCTTTAAATGTAATTGAACGTATTGTAACTCCTTCGAGCACAAAAATCATGTGGTATTTCTTAAGAAGCTAAAAAAACAATTTAATCACATGTAAACTCCAATTATAAATATTTAAGTATTTCTTGTCTGCCAAATAAACTAAGTAAACATAAACATTATGATGGTATTATTTAATAATATTTAGGCAACAGTTTTTGGCAAAATATAAATTTGGAGAATGGCAAATAATAATACACTAAATAAGGAGGAAACAATTATATTTGAATTATTAATTATAAATATTATGATTTTCGTAGTGGGAATTTTAGAAGAACATTTTCAGTTTTTCCAGTTTTAAGTGCAAGCGAAGACAATCGCCAGAGCGCGAAATTCTTGGCAGGAAAACGCACACATCAGCACATAAAGGTTGTAAAAAATGAAGGCCCAAAGCAGAATGGCCGAGGACGAGGACGAGGATGAAGAGGAAGAGGAAGGGGAGGACTCTCGGTTGCCGGCGAAGGATGTGCGAAAAACAATGCTAGACAAGGGTCCTGGTCCTGCCAGTAACCACGGACTCGCTCCGCGGCCAAAAACAAGAATTCGATTTAATTTTATTTTCAGCAATAAAGCCACAAATTCAATTTTCGCGCCACGCATCAAACAAAGTCCCACTCCCTCTTGCTTTGGCCAGGACCTCCTACTCCTCCTTCTCATTCTCCTCCTGCTTGCCCTCTCCCTCTTCCTCTTCCTCTTCCTCTTCCTTTGACTGCGGCATCTCAAGGAACATCGCCTGCCGATGTGGCGTCTGATCTGATTGCCCAACGGCTGTCAGTTGCCATGGAAAGGAAGGGAAAGGAGCTGAAGGGAAAGGAAGCGAAGGGAAGGGAAGGAAGGAAGCTTGGGAACGGAAGGGAAGAGGAAGGGAAAGGGAAGGAGAGGGGAAAGGGAAAGTGAGGAAGAGAAGGTATCAATGGCGCCCACGGGAAAAAGCGGGCGGGGAAATGTCATAAAGCAGGAAAACACAAACTGATTAACAGCGAAAACCTTTGATGAGTCGATGAGTCCGTTGACAAAGCCAACCAACCTTTGGAGGCTCCATTCTAGGGGGAAGAAGGGGGGAAGAAGGGGGAATAGGAGGGGTAGAGGGGGGGCTCTCAGGCGGTTGAATAAATGCGACATCAAACGTTGGTGACCCCAACCAAGTGACTGCAGAAAGTAGCTGAAGGCCGAATACCGAATTTCGTCGCCCCAAAAGTAAACTAATCAAGGAAACGCGTCTCCTAACAAAGTGGAAAACCTTTTCTCACTTTTAACAACACTTTTCCTGACAAAAAATACATAATTGGAATACATACTAGGGTTATTATTGGAATGTTGGGGTAAAGCTCTGCAATTATTCCATATTGTATTCCATATCTTTACTCCAATTTTCCAAATTTCCGTTGTAGTTACTCCATGAAGGGTTTCATCCATGGTTGTGGGTTTCATCCTTTGCGAAGTGTACTATAAATTTGATTATATATAATATCTATTATATACCACCGAACTGATAGTAAAGATCTCTCCCTTTTTCCCCACTCTAGGTGCTGTGTAACACGGGCGGCCTCGAGCAGATCCCGCTGCGGCAGCTGCCGGCGTCGGTGGAGAACCTGGCGCTGACCAAGAACAACTTCCCGATCATCAAGCCGGACTCGTTCTCCGGCCTGCGGGCGCTGAAGAAGCTCTCGCTGGACGGCAACAACATCACGCGGATCAAGCAGTTCGCCTTCCGCGGACTGCCGCGGCTCAAGGAGCTCTCCATCCAGTATACGCCCCTCCAAATGGTCGCCGCCTTCGCCTTCGCCGGACTGCAGAACCTCTCCACAATCCTGCTGAGCCACAATCAGATCCAACGGATCGAGGGCAACGCCTTTGCCGGCACCTCCAACATCAAGTTGATCCTGCTGACCAACAATCCCCTGATTCGGATCGATAGTTCTGCCTTCTCGAGTCTGACGAACGTGGGACACTTGATCCTGCCATCGGGGATAAGGAGCATCGAACAGGACGCCTTCTTTGGCATGGACACGGTGGGTCTGCTGAAGTTGGCCTACATGGACCTCAAGGAGGTGGCTCCCTTCACCTTTCGCGGCCTCTCCAATGTCCTTCTGCTCACTCTGCAGGAATCCGACTTGGGTGTCATTTGTGCCGATGCCTTCACAGGATTAACGCAAGTGGAAACGCTGCAGGTGCTGAACAACAAGATAGATTCGATCGAGGAACTCAACTTCACCAGCTCGGCGGCCATAAAGCATTTGAAGTTCTTCGGTAATCACGTACTGGAAACCCCCGATCCAAATGCCATCATCGTTGATGGAGTGGAGCATCTGCAGCTGGTTAGCAATCACTTTCCCTGCGGCTGCCACATCCACACGCTGCTCGATGGTCCGCTGGCCGAGGGAGCCCACAATCTGACGGACTTCCTGCAGAAGAACTACTGCATCTCCCCACTGGAGGTCAACGGGCGGGTGATGAGCGAACTGGACATCGACTCCATCGGCCGGTGCTCCGATCAGCTGACCAAGGGCAACCTCGGCAGTTCGGCTGCCTCGCTGGCGCTGGGCATCAACTCGATGCTCCTCATCGCGGTGGCCAGTTGCGCCGAGTGGCGACACTTCCGGCTCCTCGCCCACCGGATGGCCCAGATCCTCGGCCACGTCGCCTGGCGGAGGCGCCGGAAACGGCGGAAGGGCAACTAGGTGGAGGAGGAACCACACGAGGAGGAGGAGGTGGAGGATGTGGAGGCGGAAGTGGAGGTCCGCTGCACCGATTACCGGAGGTAGGTCAACCTAAATACCACATAAATTTATTTACTTCTTTATTAACTTAGAGGTCTTCCAATCGCTTAAAGGTTTAAGCTTAAATATTTACAATAATCTTTTTTTAATTTTTAACACGTTCCTTATGCAATTTAATATTTTATTAAAATTTTTTAAAGCAAGTTATACAGTTTTTGCAAACTAATTCCTTGATTTGGAATTTTTTTCGTTGCACTCTCAAAGTTTTTTGTATAAATCCATTTGATTGTGTGTTCCACACTCAAATCAAATCTATACAATATTTTTCGTTTGAAGAGCAAATATGGATTCGCGAAAATTTCTTCTTGATTTAATTATGTAAACAGAAGTAAACAAATCAGTTGAAATTCGAATTGTAACAACATTTATGTAGGTTATTTTTTTGATTATTTTTATTTATATTCAGCTGTTTTATTGGGCAAACGCCATTCGAATTCACATCGAAACGCAATTACTCGTGTGTATTCCATACGATTTAATGAAAAGGAAAATAATAAGATTAAACTTAGCTTGAGCTGCGAATATTGTTGGTAGCAGTGCTTTTTGGTTTTTTCGAGTGTAGCTTTGTTGACCAGGCGACACCTCCTTAGTTTCGGCCATTGTCTCGGATTCCCCCGATGGCCACAAAATTCGGCTGCCACCGCTGCCATCCGCTCCTCCTGCCAACTCCTCTCGGTCAGCCGGCAAATGGAAGCGCTTTCAATGGGCTCTCATCTCTAAATGCAATCGCAAACATGGCCATGGCAGAGTGTTTAGTCATCGCCATAAGTATTCCACGCAGTCCGACCCAATCGAATCAAATCGAATCCCCTGAATCCCCCCCAGAAAGCAATTCGCTGCTGCAGTGCAGCCAGAGTCCAGAGTTCTGAATCCAGAGTCCAGAGTCCTGAGTCCTGAATCCTTGGTGCTGGGTCCTCAGTCCTCAGTCCTCGGATACAGTTCCATTGTGGAGCGCGTTTAAGAGTGTGTGTTCCGTGGCTGCAGGGAACTGCCTTCTTCTCCCGGGTTAGCATACAAAACGAGAACGGAAATTACAAATTCTATTCACTCGCCCGACTGTGGCACTCTAATTCGTAGCCGGCGAGCCCCAATGCCTCCGCACTCTGAAAAGTCCAGGCCTTCGGGCAACCCCAACCCATTCGAACTTAAGCCAAACCCAAGCCAACCCCATCCAAACCCATTCCATTCCATCCAAACCCATTCCATTCGAACCGAACCCATTTAGCCTTGCAGCCGAGCAGACGGAGCAACTTTGATGGAGACGTCGGGTCCTTCGAAGCGGGACAAGGACTACGATTTGGATGAGAACCAGGAAAAGGATGAGGATGAGGAGCAGGATCCAGAAGCAGGCTATTCTTCAGCCGCTTATCGCAAAGGATTTAGATTTATCTAACTTGATTATGAGGCCGGTTGCCTCGGTGCTTCGGTGCCTTCCCTGCCATCCTTTGCATCCTTTCCTCCGTTTTGCTCCGCTTTCCTTTGGGTTCGGAGCAGGCAGGGCATTCGGAATCCTGGTCGGCCTAAAACAAATGCCCAGAGAAATCATTGAAGGAAATTAAAACTTTGTTTACTTTTAAGTCCTTCCTCGTTGAATAAGAGGCCAAGTCAGAATCTCAAACGGGGCTAAAAAGTTCAAACCGACAAGGAGCAAAAAAAAAAAAGAAAAAAAAAAGGGGAAAGGACATTTTTTTTGTGCAGTTGCGAGAGTGAGCTGTCCGTTTCTGTTTGCATTTGCATCTCCCTCTCTCTTTCCCCCTTTTGGCCACATTAGATGGCCTATTCACTTAATCAGCTCCTTTTTTTTCCTTTTTCTTAACCGGCTAATTGAAGGACATCAAGGACATCCAGCCGGCGGGAAGGCTTGAGAGCACTTAAAGACTTAAAGCCACTTCTCGTTTTGGCAAAAGGCGACTTCTCGTTTGGTCGACGTGCGATGGTCGCCAATGTGGCTGGCTTAACACGTCCTGCCACGCCCACTTAGGGGGCAGTCACTTCCCCCTCCCCCTCTCGACTCGTTGAATTCATCCTTAGTTGACCATGTTTTAGGCGCACTTTTGCTCTTTGGCGCTTTGGCACTCGTCCGCAGATCGTTAACTTAATTGTTCCGCTTGAAATCCGAAAACTGCCAACGCTATTGTTGCGACTGATAGTCGTGAATGGCCGTGACCACGCCCCCAATCCCCTAAGCCCCCCTTTTGGCAAACGGCGCCTATGGCTGGGAAACAGGAACAGAAACAGGAACAGGAATGCAATAAAATTGGCGTGACTAACTCAGCACTGGGATGCGATGCGAGCATTGCAGATGAGCTGAGGATTGGAGCTTGAAAGTGGAGGAGGATTGGGGGGGATGAAGGGGTTCTGGGATTGGATGCCCCAATGTGGCAGCCACAGAAGGGCGCAAGTCGTGCGTGCCTCGGCGAAACGTTGACGCTGTCATGCAATCAGCAAATAGGCGACCGCAGCAAAAGTCGCGTAATTAACGCGACGGCCAACATGGACTAGGTGGCCACACCGTCCCACATTCCCATTTGCCATTCAGAAGCTTAAATTGGAGTAACCCCCCCCCCCACCTCCCCGTAACCCCTAAACCCATCAATCTGGTAGAATATCTGGACATATATCCAGATATCCGTAGAGCTGTGATAAATGTCCGTAGGGCAAGGCAAACATGGGAAAGTGAAGGGCGATAAATAAAATCATCGAACGACGTGCTGTAAAAACGTGAAGCGAAAAGTGAAATGCAATTGAGAGAGAGTTGCAAATTGAAACGAGTGGATTAGAGGTGGAGGTATTTTAGGGCTTCTCTAATGAGAAAGGAGAAGGGGATTCTCCCACATATGTACAAAGCCCAACTAAAGTGAAGAGGTTACTTCCCAACCGGAATAATTCTCACCATCATCTTTATCCGAAGCAAAACCATTTAAATCACTGCCCACTCACTGCTTACCCACTGCCCACTCACTGCTTACGCCCTGCTTACTCACTGCTTACTCATCGTACAACCAAACCCCTTACAACTTGGCCAACCCTTTCCGCTGGAAATCCCTGGCAAATTACCAGCGACATAAATTAGAAGCCAGCCACAATGGACACGAGAATCTGGTCGAGTGCCTCCTGAAATATGACAACGTCCACTGGTTGGTTCGTTTAAGCGGCGAACCATTTTGCGTGTCATAGGGCATTTTTATACATATTTGCCATGGCCCAGAATTTATTGGGCTAATACAAAATTTAATCAGCCTATAAAGCCACTCTTTTACCCTCCGAATTTGCCTTTATTTCGATCTGCCTCCTTCTGTCTCCTTCTGTCTCCTTCTCCGATTCTCTGCACTTTTCTGTGTATTATCAGACTCGAGTCCACCATAAATAACGGAAAGTAAGGTCCGGCAGCCGGAGGAGTCTAGGTCAAAGTTCGTGGGGTCGATTTGGCCAACAGCTGGCGGCGAAAAAGGATTGGCATTGGTCCTTACACTTCATTTAAAGTCAAGGAGTCGCACATAAATTTCCATGCACATAATTAAACGACCGAATGACAAAGCAAAATCGTTAAGTCGAGGTCGAATGAGCCGGCAAATGGTGGGGAATGAATTTGGGTTGGGGCAACGGTGGAATGGGGCCTTGAGTTGACCTCGGGTTAAGCACAAATCCAATAAAATATGCAGCCAGATGACCTCCCCTATTCTCCTTTCTCCCCCAAAAACTAAATATTTCCAGCACCAACAGCTGCTAATTTGGTGTGCGTGTGTTTATCTAATAACAAAAATTATGAAAATCTATGTGGGTGTCCTGTCAATTAACGTCGCCTGTAATGAGTCGAATGGTACACACACACCCATACACATATAGAAACACACACAGAAACACACACACACACATAGCAACTCAAAGTCTGGCACGGACATACGTGGCTTATGAGCAATGCGGGCGAAAGGGATCACAAATGGGGAGGTTGTCCTTTGAAAAAGGAGTAGACGGGCGAATAGGTCATCGACGTTTCCATATGCGAACTCTGAAATATGGAAAAGGACTAATTACCAGAGGAGAAAATCAGGAGTTCATTACTGCGGAAAGTCAGCGAAAACCGAAAACCAGTTTCAATGACAACTTTTTGCTATTCACAATGGTTTTTGGTGGATATTTTGGCCAACCTGTGAAAATTGCTCGTTAAAAGGGTTTTCTGTGTTCCAATAATTTAATGGAGTGTACGGAAATTAAGATACATAAATGCGACTTGCCGGCTTTAATTTATTTAGTATTATTATTTAATTATAATTTTTATTTAGTACCTTATTTAAAAATGTGTAGCTAAAATATGATTACATTTTAATACCCTCGCCAAGTTAATCGATTGGCAACAAAGGGTTTTTAAATTTTTCAAAAAGGAAAACATTTTGTAGTCATCTAATCCACACAAAGCGAACAAAAATTAGGAACAGGAAAAGTTTTTCCTGATAGCAAATCGAATAAAAGAAAGAGTTAATAAATATACAGAAACTAAAATATGACTAAACTTTTAAGTAACAGTTCCTTTATTCTTTCGACAAAAATAGTAATTTTTAAAGGATAAAATAAATACGTTTCACTAAAATCCAAAAACCTACGTTCAAATACTTACTCCACTGCCAATGGAATTATAATTGAATTTTAATCCATGAAAATTTGAACAAAGCAAGCAAAAATGAAGACAAAGAAAAGTTTTTGCAGCACAAATAAAGTGAGGAAAATACCTGTTTGGGTAAAATATTACTTACACCAATTTTCAAACAGTTTTTCTTTTACCGAAATCAAAAAAAAAGGGAAACTACAACAACTGTTAACGTAAAAACACTGCAACTAAAAATCAGAACCCCGCATTCAAATAGTTTTTGCTCTATGAACAAGTGGTTTATTAAAAGGATTAT